CAGCTGACATTTGCCTTCGTTAGATATAATTATTTGTCCCTGGGACGCTAGATATTTTGTGGTTAAATATTTCCAACAATGCTAATGGGTATTATTTCGCATAATTCACGGATTTTTTTAGCATGTATGGTCTCCAGAGTCACGCGTAAACATTATTGTGAGAAAAATGGGAGCACAGAGAACACAAAGAAGAGTGATATATGGCAAAGACAGTCAATGGCAGCGTTGACTGGGACACGGCGTGCGCAGTGCAGCGTGAGAAAGCAAAAAGTGGCACCGGCGAGAGCCGGAGGGCTATCGGCCGCCGAGGCTAATCGATAATCAAGTGCAAGTATGCGCGGCCGCTTGCGCCCTTCGCGTCGCCGGCGCTCCCGACCCAGGAACCAATCAAATCACGAGCAGGCTAAAGAGCCACTACCCCCCTAGAGTACCTTAGCTCGCGGCGAGCTCGCTTGCTATTAGGGCGAGAAATTAAACCTCAACCCCTTCCATTCATGACTGCTGGTATGAGCGATGCAACTTTAAAAAAGTAGTCGCTTTTTGGTTTATGTCTGTGGGTTGGTAATTTCTCTTCCTAATGTGATCTGAAATGTGTTCCACAACCAGTAGAAATAATCGTTCACCTGAAGTTTTTTTTTACTTTGATGGCCTACCTCAGGGAACAATGGCAACGCCACCTCTTTCTAATACGATGTTAATAAGCCTGTCAGTCATTGGGGTGAGTTATTTCCATTTGGTTGGGCTGCGAACCTCTTAAAATATGATTCGAGTCTGGGAATTTGTTAAACCAAAGGGCCTGTTTTGCTATGGCACCATAGATCTCCCCTTAAGTTCAGTAACTGCAGTAAAACACTGTCTCCGGCCCCACCCCGTTGTCATATCGGACCATGACTGTTAACACTGGACGAGCCGCCCCAGAATTTCACAAATTCCCCTTCCTCCGCAGAACTGCTATGTGTGGGTGTGATGCCGCCACTGCAACTTGTACTTCTCTGATCTTGAAGGCTGGCGATTTTGTAGACTGAGTAGTCTTTAAAATCTAATACGGCCTCTCCACACGCCAAATAACCGAAAAACTTTGCATGCTAGGATTGGTCAACGCCTACTTCTTCTCCCTCGTCCTCGTCAAGAAACGTTGCTGGAGTTGGAGGGCGTTGTTTTCTCATTCACTCGCCACATTACATAAAGAACAGCAGTAGTGAATCTGGCTAAACGCCAAACATCTCATGACCTTCCGTATGGACCCCGTGAATCGCCATGTTCAATGCTAGTGACAAAATTTCAGCACGTAGGTCTCGATTCCTCCTCTCTACTGGGACTCCGATGAGCCCGCGAATGTCTGCCTTCTCCAGCTTAAATGCAGATATTTTATTGTAAGGCCCAGCCGAACATAGCATCCGGTCCATGCGGATGACAGTCCTCTGTCTCTGCAAATGGCTGCACTATCTTCACCTTTGTCTACTACTAGTAGTCTGTGATAGTTTGAAGTGGGGATTAAGTTGAGAGGGAGGGATTTGAACCGTCACAGGCCTGCACGGAAATGGTGTGGATTTTAGAGGAAATTCAGTCAATTGCATTTCAGTGAGCAGGAGCTTCCAACTACCTGACAGTCGCATATTTTTACTCTCTAGGCGTTGTACTGGCACGAGACTCAGCTTTTCTGAACTCTCTCTACACATCTCATCGATTGGGCCTTGGAGGACCCATTGGCTCCGGACAACAGTGGCTCTCCTGGATCCACCTCGCCGATCTGGTGGACTTATTCTACTTCCTCATCACCCAGCCCACTGTCGCGGGCTCGGGCGTCTTCAACGGAACAGCACCAAACCCCGTACGACAGGCCGCCTTTTCGCGTGCCCTCAGCCAGAGTCTGGGTGCTCCCCTTGCCGGTCGTGTGCGTACACCTGCCCTGGCAATGCGACTGCTTCTGGGTGGGACACGGGCAGCTATGGCGTTGGAGGGCCAACGAGTCTTGCCTGCACGGGCCCTTTCACAGGGCTTCCGATTCCGCTTCCCTACGTTGGAATCAGCCCTGGAGGATATCTACGGTCGGCGACCGTCTCCCGTCCCAACCAATTAGGCTGGCAGCCTACATTACTGTCTTCGCGTATTCTACCTCCAAGTTAATCAGAGATTCAGTTTTGTTTGGGCACTTAATTAGATTGTTTTTTTGTTTTTTTACTTCTCATATACATCACTGCTCGGTATTGCTTCGTCAAGCTTGTCCAGACCCCAGTTAGTGCAGGAGTGTGGCTTAGCTATTGGTGACCACGCACTCGTAGTGTGACCCAGCCAGTTTTAGGTGTCGAACCTCGGACGACTTCTCATCACTCCTTCCCACTTTTGCACCAGATTTCAGTCTACATCGTGGGTAGTATGGAATTTCTCGTCCTTGACACTTGAGATTTACGAACCGATCTTTCTACCCTTGCAGTTATTATCCGATGAACTTCGAGGGCGGCTGCTCCAGTTTTCACAGCGTTTCGTCATGTCTGAACAAGGTTCTTTCGGGTGGCTAGGTTGGTTTGGGTGTAATTGGTAGAAGACATCAGGGTGTTCGTATAACGTCATTTTTATCCACCATATCGGTGGACATCCGTAGCAACGTCGCCGCTGAAGTATCGCATGGGTAGGCGCATCTGATCTGTGGTCACGACTCGGCCGCTCCATGGTAGTTGTATTTGCGGCAGTAAGACTTGGATGCCGAAGGTTCCGGTCCGTTCCAAGACTTTCGCACCTGGGGTTCTGTCATGCCGGCCAAGGAACCGGTGCGCAGGTCGTGCTACCCCCCAACTCACAGGCTCGTTTACTCCAACTATCCTAGTAACAATGGGGGATGGTTTTTCTCCCCATCGTTCTATTCCGTGAACCTGCATTCGCGCTCTTTACGCCTAGAGAAGTGCTCTTGTCGGCAAGCAAAGAGATTTGCAAGCAGACACAGAGACGCCAAGGAACATACCGTTACTTCCGATAGCTAGTCTTAATGAGGGTTTAGTTTAAAAATTATATCACACAACGCAAGACGCAGCCGGCTTCACGAATAATGGAGCTGACCCGCGATCACAAAAGAGTGGTCCCTCAGAATACATCGTACCTGCTGCGATGCTTTGGTGGTGAGGAGTCGACGCGAACCCAAAAAGTCAATGGTACAACGGCGGCCTGCAGCAAGCGTTTTCCGGCTCTCGCAAGTCACCTACACCATCGTTTAGACGCGGAGACAAATACTGTTACTGCTATCTACTGCTTAGATAATCACCCCCAATACGCTTGAAACTTCACGAGGAGACGAAGAAACTTGCTCATTTTGGAGAAAGAAGTCAGTCATTCGGAAAAATCATGGCTGTTCTTTCAATGTCATGAAACAGGATAAGTGTGTCGGTACAAGGAAAAAGAGTAGACATGGATGAGAAATAAACAGATGAAGTGTTAAGTGTGAGTATGTAGAAAAAATAAGTCGATTTTGAAAAAGAAGGCAGGGGCATCTGATGATAATTTACAGCACAGACAGCAGCAACAAAACGCAACAGCCCTCTTGGAAGCTCCAAATGCAGGTGTAGAAATCAGAAATTTCCTCTGCTAGGAAGAATCCCTAGCTGAGTGGTCCAGCTCACAGCCACAGGCCAGGAAGCTCCACAAGACTGGTACTGACTGCGGTGCCGGGCTTCTTGGTGGGGAGGCTTTGGCGGGGGGCGGGGTCTGCGTTCTTAGGGGGGACCGGCGGACATGTGGGTTCGAGGAAGTAAAGCCAGCCCAGGGCATCCACCACGTAGAGCGCTCGATAGAACTCTGAGCTGGTCTCAGTGCTGGCACCGGACTGACGGGCTTTGCGGGCGTTGACGGGGTGCATGGTGGACGGTGCAAGCCGGCCGGAGAGCGGGGCGAAGAGAAGAGTGGTGATTGGACAGGGCGTCGGCTGGTTCAACTGAGGGAGAGGACCCAGGGGGGGAGGTGGGTGAGAAAATTGAGACAGGAACTTAGTGCAATACCGGAGGCAATAGGGGGAGGGGAGGGGGGCGAATCCCTCTATGAAAATTTGCGAGAACTATTGGAGGCGTGGGTGTCGGACACCAACACTATCAATAGACACATCGATTTGTCTGCGTGTTATCACGCGCTCCGCCCACGCAGCCAGGTGGCGCAGCTCACAACGTCGCGAAGTACAAACGGCGTCACCACGCCGGAGGACCATCGTGGAACAGGCGGCACAAACCGGACCTAGCCACGGACGTAGTCCCCCCGCCCGCACGGAACAACGATATAAATGTTCACACGTTGCTGCACTCTAGCAGTCTCTGATGATGAACTCCAGTTCGAGTTTGCAAGCTCAGGCCAATAAATCTACTGTCCCAGTGATCCTGCCTTCGTCTTATTTTGAACTTAGTGCAATGTCGGAGGCAATAGGGGGGGATCCCACTATGCAAATTCGCCATCTAGATCTTGTTTTGACGAGGATTACTGCCCTTTGGCAAAGAGGCGCAGGTACAATCCGACTATATCGGCTGCCTGACCCAGGTTTTAGAGGCAAAGACCGCATCTACAGACTGCATTGCGACAGTCGTAATGTCAACGCAAATGCGACAGATAATCGTTAATGAGGTACCCTTCGGTCAAGACTGATCATCGATCGTCGCCACCGTAGCGAACACACTTAGTCGACGACGCCCACTTACTATTCGATTTCGATGGGTGCGCCAGCTTGCTCCAGACTGGAGGTGACGCACTCTCGAAGTTCGCCATAGCTATCAGCAACCGACGGCTGTCTGCTTTGTTGACTTTGTCATCGCGTTCGATTCCGTCCGTCGTGAGTCCCTGCGGCGGATGATGGCGTTAGATGGGGTGCCGCCAGGAATCATCGCCATGATCAAGGCCTATTATCGTTCCACCACTGCGAGAGTCCTGGTCCACAACAATCTTTCCCCATAGTTTGGTATTCGGTCTGGTGTTCGACAGGGTTGTATCCTGTCGCCCATGCTGTTCAACTACGCTATTGACTGGAATCTCGAGGGCCCTACGTGAAGGCGACGGGCTGAGTTTGCACCAGAAAATCGACTGATTGATCTCGATTATGCCAATGATATTGCCTTACTAGCTCCAGGTTTTGATGATATGCAGTCTGTAGTGTCACGGGTGAGCGAGGTCGCTCAATCGGTCGGTTTGTTCATAACCGCTGGGAAGACTAGTGTTTTCAAGCTGCATCTCTGACCAGGAGAAGACATCTCTCGGGGTTGATGGCCGTCAACTTGATGAAGTTGAGTTTTAAATACCTCGGGGTGAGGCTGCTGCCTAATGGACAGAGTAAGGACGACATTGTCCCCCGAATCGATGCTGTCTGCTGAGTTTTCTCAAGCCTAAGAAAATGCCTATGGATCCGACGTGACCTCTCCATCGCCAATAAGATTCGCGTGTACCGTGCAGCTGTCCGGTCTGTTCTTCTCTATGGTTGTGAATGCGGGGCTGCTCGTGGAGGGCGAGCGAAAACTGGAGGTATACTACCACCACTGCTTGAGGGCCATCCTTCGAGTGATGTACACCGACTTCGTCTCAGATGAAACAGTTCGCACTCGCTGTGACAACATCGCAAGGATAACTCAGGCCATCCAAGAAAGACGACTGAAGTGGTTCGGGCATGTCTATCGTCGCCCACCTCAGGACCTCAGTGTTAGTACCCTGGATCCGGCATCATTGCCCCCTTGGAGGCGTCGAAGAGGGGGTCAACTCAAGAACCGGTTGGACACAGTCCGTCAAGACATGGAGGGGGTTCTTGAACCTCGGTATTCGGTCTCCGTCGTTGGCAACGAGAATGCATTAAACTGCCGAGAGCTACTGCCGTGGATGGTCACGCGTGGAGAGGTACAGTATGCGATATCATCGAGGCCGGCCAGATCAGGCATGATCGCAGCCGTATTAAGTACAAGAACGTCGGGATGGCCAACTGAAAACAGCGGTCCCTGCTTACTCCACCGCTTGCCAACTATGGCCTGACCGGCATTCGCATTAAATGCTACTGAAACAAATAGGTAAAAACTACTCATATTTATCTGCGAGTGTCTCAACGCCTGGCCACACTCGATCTGACTAGTATTTCCCTGCTAAGTGAACGAGTAGTGACCTCAAGAGTCTACAGTGAGTTACCTAACTCATGAAATGTTGGCTGAAATTCTGAAATGCGTTTTCGATTAGGAAGGATTACTTGATCGCGGATGTAATACTGACTATCTTGCGGCATACTCTTGTAACATTTCGGACTCGGCAGGATGTCAACTTTTAAATGCCCTTTTTTTCAATCTCCTGTAGAAAGCATACTCGGCAAAAAATGACTACTAAAGTAGCATGCATTTTTCCCATTGATTTTCGATGGTCTTGCAAATTCAAAGATATTTTATAGAACCCATAAATAAAAATATGCTTTCTTTTAGTCAATCAATAGAGAATCACGTCTTCTATATAGTTTTCACTTAAGGAAGGAGTATAATTAGGTTTTAAAAAAGTTTTCCAATTTCCGTATAATTTGGAGCCTGACCATTCGTTGCATTAGCGCTTAGTAATTTCAGTCTGCAAGGTGTATGCGTTCCGTGTAGAGAAAATCACATATTTTTCTATGCCATTAAAGAGATATCATATAGAGTCCATAAAATTTTGCAATGGATGCGGACCATGTTGTTCATTTCATGAGAAGCAGTGGTAAACTTCCAGGTACGATGCTATGTGAACTGACATTTCGCGGTCTTAAAAAGTCTCATAATTAGAAACTTTTTTAAAGCCTAATTATACTCCTTCCTTAAGTAAAAACTTTATAGAAGACGTGATTCTCTATTGATTGACTAAAAGAAAGCATATTTTTATTTATGGGTTATATAAAATATCATTGCATTTGCAAGACCATCGAAAATCAATGGGAAAAAGGCCTGCTACTTTAGTAGTCATTTTTTACCGAGTAAGCTTTCTACAGGAGATTGAAAAGAAGTGCATTTAAAAGCCGACATCCTGCGGAGTCCGAAATGTTATAAGATTATGCCGCAAGATAGTCACTATTACATCCGCGACCAAGTAATCCTTCCTAATCGAAAACGCATTTCAGAA